TTCTAAAGCCCTGCCCAGACTATCAAATTTTGACAAAAACAACATGCCTAAATATGGTCATGATGACATCATATCAATACCATATTTAGGCACATCATGTCTATTTATGGACATAGGTGTACAACAGTTTGTTGTCGAAGAAAATTTGATAGTGTGGACAAAACATAAGGTGGACTGAATAATTTTAAGCCACCTCTCTGTACTGTACATAGGGCGAGCATAGTTACCCTAAAATCAGCTGATCAATCTCCCTCATTATTGTGTTTGGCCTTCAGACTATTACTAATAGTTTTTAAAGGATTCATTTTATTGGTATTTCAAGAGATCCAATCTTAGGAATTTTAAGTCATTGCCCTATCTTCTCTAAGAAATATTGGCGCCAGGGCAGATCTGAATTTTCTTACTAGAGCTTTATTATGGGTATTTTTTATTTCTTATAACAATTATGTCACACATTCAGTGAAATGATGTGGTTCGCCAAAGCAATACGGATGCTTAAAAGAAATGACACATTGGTTGTGGTTAATTTAGGTAGCAAAGTCATAGTTTGCAGTTTGCATTTTTATTAGGAAAAAATAATAAAATGTATAATTTAATTTTTACTTTTTTTACGTTATACAATTTTGACGTAGTAACATTATTTTTTAAAATAAAGAATGATTTGGTGGGTTTATATAATTTAAAGTAAATATTATGTATATATTTTACTAGTTTTAATTATTTTTATGTGTTTAATACAGTATATTATATTTTTAATTTATTTATTTTATCAAATTTTTAAATATTTAAAAAAGAAACATTTGAATTAAATTTACTATTTTATTCTGTCACACACAAACAGACGTTTGTGCAATGGCTGGTTGAAAATCCTGCATCTTTACAAAAATACAGTAAATATAGTAGTAAATAAAATTATATATGGGGTATACTAAAATTGATTTATTTTCTCCATGATGAAATCCTAATAATTTTTTTTTTAGTTTATGATACAAGAGAAAAATGTTAAAATAAATTATATTATTATAGAAGCCTGTGCCTACACAAAACAAGAGGAAATGAAATTTGTTGCTACAGAGAAAATGGATGTGCGAGGGGATGAGAAACTAGAAACTTTTTTCATTTGGCCTAATAGTTATCCTTACCCCATCCATTCCTTCATTTATTTAAAATAAAGCTGTAACCCTTTTTTTTAAATTCTCTTTTTATAGTCTTGTTTGAATAGGTATTTAGTGTATATATCATTGTTAGTCCCATTTCTGTCCCCATTCCCTTATCCAGGGGAGGGTTAGTTTTATTTTTAAGTGAATCTCCCTCTGGTAAAACCAAACCACCGATTCCATTTTGCCTAAAAAGCATCAAAATTACTTAACATGCTAGAATCTAGAAAGCTTCAGCTCCATGTTTTATAGGGTGATTCTGGACCTTACCCAGTGCCACCCTCTCCCACAAAAGATATATTCTCCTGGAACTTATCCAGTGCCAATGTAAAACTCGACCCATTTAAATTTTAAATAATCATTCATTGGTTTTTCTCACAGCTAAAAAAAACATATCTACTCCCTACAGTAAGCTTTCTATGAGACATTGCTGATTTATCAGCGTACCTTCTACTGTAGGATGTTCTTAAAATATGGTATAAGCTGTAAATATGGTTTAAAAGAAACACTGCTTGGAGTAGGTAGATGTGACAGAAATTTAAAGGAAGCAGCCGAAAGTCATTGTTCTCATCTTTGATTATTCTCTCGACTATCTAAGAAGGTTGCTTTTCACTATACATCTTCCTTAGGAAATTGATCGTTAACTTAAGTATTAAGACACTGTAATTGGTTAGCCAAGCCTGGCGTCACATGAGCCACAGGCCTTTTGTTTACATGGCATCAATGTGCTAGGAATCACCTGCTGGTAATTGTAACATTCCAAGTAGCTTAGTCAGCACTTGCAGGTTAGTCTATTGTTGACAGGGGATACCTCCTGTATTTTGGAGCTTTGGAGTACTTTGACACCTAAAACAATTCAGTAGTGGGCTATACTCATGCTGTAGTCATAAACCACTGGTATTGCTTGAACCCTGCCTTACTTAGCTTGGCTATACTGTACATTCACCCTTTCTAATTCTTTATTTTCATTATTGAAGAACCAGATAAGCTATCAATATTTTTTTTTTAACTTTTAGTTTATATTATATCCAGGCAGTAAATTTATAAATCATGTAACATTGTGGTTGATACTCAGACAGTATAAAATATGTGGAAACTTCTGTGCAGTTATGATTATATACTGTACACTCAACATAAAATGTTTCATTGTTAAAATGTTTTTGTTGTACTGTTATGATGTGAGTAGTACAGTATTCAATGAACAAAAGCTACAAAAACATTTTATTCAAGAAACAAATGCTTTCACCATAATTCTTAATCTGCTGTTAAAGTTATGTCATTTTTATTGGGCCTAATGTATGGGCTTCTCAAATAAATTATGGTATGAAAATGATATTAAATCTTTTGAACTTGGATGGTAGCCAAATATATCATCTTGGGTTTTTTTTTTTTGTCTTTAACGAGCAAGGACCAATGTCCCATCCTGTGTTACCAGTTTTTTTAAAAATCCTTTGTTATGAGTCAATGACTGAGAAAATGATCTCATATTTAATATCCTGAGTGGTATCCTATTGGGCTACCCTGGACGACGGCTTCCTAAAAACACAAAGGTACATACATCTGTGGCGTGTTAGCAGTAGTTACCTATAGCTTATAAATAAGCGTTAATAATTGATAGCCATTATAATATATTATTTTTATGTAATAGCTACTTTTATGTTGCGCATACAGGCATTACGTCTAAATAATGACGATACAGATAATATTTCCACAAATAATGAAAATGATAAGAAGTAGTTAGGCAATGGTTGTAGCTCAGAATGATTATGAACCTTAATGTCGGGGGTTGGAAACGGGGGCGGGGGAGGGCAAGGTACTCTATGAACTTTTGACTCTTTCCACCAAGGAGTGTGTATTATGTGGGTACTGCTGATTTATTGCAACCAATTATAGAATACTCCCCCAGGGAGTTGAAATGTGTTCAATCTGGCATCATTCTAATGACTGGGGCTCTGTGAAGAACATTATATTTATACCTATATTATTATTATTATTTAAAATGATGAACTTATACTTTAGTTCTTGATAATTCAAAAATGGGATAGTAGAAAACAAATTCTATTAATCAAGCATGGGTTGTCTTTGGCTCTTGTCTTATCACTAGTTGTGTAGAGCATTATACTGTACCAATATTATTAATATTATTATTCTTCTTATGGTGGACTTATAAAGCAAATATTGTTGTGACCTTTTAGTTCTTATATTACATGTTGGTTTCCTATTTGTTCATCCAAAAGATTTTTTTGGGGGGCGACTGAGGGGGTGTAAGTAATTTTTTTTGGGGGGGGGGCGTGTGCCACCCCTAAATACGCCACTGCTATACTGTACAATAGAGGGTATTATTACCTACATTTGTCATACCTACTGCACATAAGATACAGATAAGGTTTTGTTGGTTTTTATGTTTTTTTAAATAAAAATCAGCCTCAACTTGTTCTTTTTTGTTCTTATTTTTTAAGTAATTTCAGTCTCAGTGTTCTTATAAAATGTGTTTTATATAAAAAAGTGTATACTCTATTCAGTGGATTCAGATTAATTTTTTCAATAATGATATAAATAGTAGCAAAAGCATTCTATAATCAAGCATGGTACGTCTTTGACTCTTATCTCGTTTGTCATTGAACAGAAAAAATCCTTTTTACCATGTAAAGTGTGTAGTGAAAAGAGATAGTGTTTAAACAGCAAGATGGCTTAAGTGCGATATAATGGGGATGTGTTTAGAGGAAGTGATCCATTCCAAGCAAATGTTATGAACTCCATCTGGGAGTTGGTAGTCTGGACTTGGCCTAAATAATAAGCTTCTTATTGTTCACTTGGTGTCCCAACTGAGCCATTAGCAAGATGGAAAGCAGTCGGAGTAGAATATTGTAAGAATAGTCTGACATTTAAATGACAATCCTAAGTTGTATTTTTTTTATCAGCAGCATCATTGTTACTGTATTATCATCACTTATTGTCATTCATGATCATTATCATTGTCATCATCATCATAATCATCCTTGTTAATAAGATCATCATTTTCACCACTGCCGCCTCCAGCATCATCGTCATAACATCATCAACGTCATTATTATTATCATCATCAACGTTATCATCGTCATCATTTGCATCATCAACATTAATGTCATGATCATGATATGATCATCATCTTCAATATCATCATCAACTTCAACAAAATAACCAACATCTTCGTTTCTACTATCTCTATAAGCATTGTTGTCACCAACGTACAGTACTGGTGTTGTCATCGTTATCATCATCATCATTTCACCGCATGACCGGCATTTGGAGGCATTGACCTTTAACCCTGAGAATTTTTTTTTTTTTTTTTTTTTTTCCACATCACAACTTAATGCATAAGTATAATATTTTGGCTTGCTCCAAACCACTAAATGTACTACTGTTTAGCTATAATAGTTTAAAGATAACATTTGTAGGAATTTGATCAAGATACAGTAATCTTTGTGGTCGGAGGCACAAACAATTTTTGTCTAGGCCTGGTAGTTATAATTAATCATCATCATTATATGAGAAAAGACCATGGAAAGAATGATCAGCTATTGAAACATGCCTTATTCTATCTTCTATCATAATTTCACCTTCTCTTATTCTTTTACAGGTGGATACACTGGAGATATTTATTCTAATTCTAATCTACGAAACAAAAATGACCTGTACGAGTACAAGTTATCCAATGGGCAGTGGGTTGAGTGGAAGTTTGAAGGAAAGTAAGGACCAACACAAAACCAAACTTTTTAATATAATTTATGAAGAAAAATTTCTGAATATTATTCTCTTCGCATTTCAAATTTTCATTTTTGCAAGGTTACAATATAGAGGTCATTCTAACCGTGACTTGTATTTTTATGGTGAAACATTCTTCTGGAGTGATTTTGCAAATTCTTAGCTTGTCTAACATAACATTCATGGTTTTTTTTCTCTTTACTTGGTCCCAGTGTACATAAGTGGGGTTATACCCAAAGAGTCTTACACATTAGTAATTTCCTACAGGTAGTGTCGCGTACGTCCCCGCTAAAAATATGAAAGTGAAATCCTGGGTCTATTTCTATAAGATTTACGTCAGTGAGAGGAAAGTTAGAATCACCTGTTTTAATCAGATGAATTGCAGTGCGCAATGCGTCTCATAGTAAATTCCAAGTGGACTCTCATACCATGAATCAATGTGTAGTCATTAGGAAATAGTTTCCGGCATAAGAATTCATTAATTGATTATAGCGTTAAGAATTTGGCCCAAAAAAAATGCAGTAATGTTATGAAGAAATATTTAACCCATAAATAATATTTCCAACTGCCATTCAAAAAAATAGAAAAATGTAAACTATACAAAGATATTATTAGACATTCAAATGTATTGTCCATGTCATTACTTACTGATTGTTATTATATTATAATTGCTGGATTCTTGTTTTATGTCTTTATTTTAATTCTAAATAATTTCATCCGTTTTTTGACCCATTGCAGACAACCTCCTGCTCGCTCAGCTCATGGGGCAGCTGTCTATGATGACAAGCTCTGGATCTTTGCTGGGTATGATGGCAATGCGAGGTATGTTACCGCCAATTCCGGCCTACCAACTGTTAAAATGTTTAATCATATCTGACAGACTTCTATGTTCGATTTAAGCATTTTATTACTTGTGGAAAGATACATGTATGGAATTTTATGATTGAAAGAGAACATTAAATGGTTGTAATTATTTATATAAATTACATGCATCAATCAACTAAGGCCAAGTCAAGATAAAATGATATACACTGGTTTCCCTGTTCCAATTCTTTTTTGCCGCCACTAGCACCAAATCAAATATCACATGTACATTATCTGTAACCCAACATTAGTGGTCAGTAGGAAGCAAATAAATAAAAATTTTGTTTTTTATTCCCTTAGTGAAATTCACAATGTCCCCCAGTACTCTATATAGCCCAACAGTGGTTACCTGGGGAAAGGGAAATAAAAAAGAATATTTAAATTTTTTATTTTTTTTTATTAAATGCCTCTTGGGGCATGCGCAAGGCTTCCCAATGCTGGTCGCGGGGTCATGCACTTTTCCACCCCTGCAAAACAGTTTGTGGAAGGCATTTACAAATGATGTGGCCCCCCCCCCCCGGCACTTTCTCACTAATTGGCTCCATGACTCACTTTTATACCGCTCTACAATTTCAGATGCCTTTTGATAATAAAATGCTATTCATTTTCCCATTTAAAATAAATCATGGCAGAACTTCATCAAATAGTTACTGTATATTACATTTTGATAGTAGTGTTTTTATTTGAATGGTGCAGGCAGAATATGCTTTATGAAATCAGTTGAAAATAAAGTTCAAGAAATATAACTGGTATATGTTTTACTTTTTAAATTTTTTTCTACTACTTAGATTAAATGATATGTGGTGTGTGTCATTG